CCGGGGGGGCCAGCGGCCGGGCGCGTCCTCCAGGCACTGGGACTGGTTCGCCATGGGAGCCGCGGCCGTAGGGGCCTCACGCCTGAACCGGAGCCTTTTATCGGGAGTGTGAACCCAACCACCGCCCCCACCCCGGTTCTCCGCCACCTCCCAAGCTGCGCCCGGCCCTGCCTCCTCGTGCACCTGCCCAGGCCGAAGGGAGCCAGGGGTCGCTGAGTTCAAGCGGCTGCTTGGCTCCCTCGTGCCCCAGCTCATCCCGCTGGAGATGCCCTGGCTCAGGCCCGGCCGCTGCTGGAGCGGGCCAGGGAGGAGCAGGGTGATGGGCGGCTGCTTTCTTCCCACGCTGGGTCCAACCCCAGTATCAGACCTTCTGTGCTCAGGATCCCCAGGCAGCCCCCTCCCACCATCATCCCACGGCGCGGAACGTAAGTTGCAAGTTGGAGATACAGAGGACGGCAAGCCCCGTGCCCCGTAGCTACATCAAGTTGGCTCTTGCCTGTTTACCAAGCTGCAGGGAAGGAGGGTCGTATTATTTACTCTGATTTCTCCTCCCATGAAGGAGCCCTTCCAAAAGGTAGCGAAACAGACAGAGCTACCCCTGCCCGGGTTAGGCAGCAGCCAAGGGAAAAAGCAAGACATCACTGCCCCCTTAAGTCAAGGGCTGAAAGCTAAAGCTCCAGGCCCATAGCTCTAGGTTCAGTCCTGTAGCCCAGTGTTTCTCACCCAGTGGTACAAGTAGCATTAGGGAAGTCGGAGAGAAGTCAGGGGTACGTCAATGCATTTGAAATTTGGAGAAAACTAAATTTTTTTTTAAGTTTTACAGAATTTTATTTTTGTACTTTTTACACCCAAAAATTTAATTACCCACCTTGCTACAGTTAAGTTATTTAAAACAAATGTGTTGCAATGGTGGAAAAAAATGGTCTGAAAACTATAGGTACTTGGGGTACATTTTTTTTTTAAAAGGTACTTTACACACCCAAATTAAAAAAAAAAAGTTGAGACACTACTGTAGCCTTTTCTTTAGCGTGAACAACTACACTCAGGGCCCCTTGCACAGGGCTGTTCTTCCCCCAAATGGAGGGGAGAGTCCAAAGAATAAGATTGTTACAGACTAGAATAGGTACGCTACACATCTTGAGAACTGACTTTTTCCATGGACAATTTAGAGCGGTTAATAGCAAAACCATGTCCAGCCTCCGTTGTACTTGGAAAATATAATCCAGCTGTTCTCTAAATAAAGTGTGCTTTAAGAGTCCCAATAGAAAGTATGAACCAAAGATAAGGAAAAGTCATAATTAAAAAACACACAATGCAAAATTCACTTGGGACACAAAATGTGGAAAGTTTTTGGATAGACTTTGAAGTGCTACCACACGTGAAGCATGAAATAAATCCCTCAGTTTGCTGCCCGAACATACATTGACTGACCGACCGACTCTGCAACCCATTCAGTTGCTGAAGCAACTTCAGACACAAGCCACCTTTTGTACTTGTTTAGAACAGTGCTAGTGCAGATAGGAATTTGAAACCAGATCCTCCTTTCCTCATAGTGGTGAATTGTCAGCTTTCCAAGGTAGGGAGATAGCGGCTACTTTCAAATGCACATTTGAGCACAGGATAAAAATTATGCAGCTGAAAACCAGCAGAATCTGGCAACCCTGTGCATGGGTAACTGTAAACAAAATGTCTTACGGACCACGCGTAGAACCCCAAATGGGCATGTGGCCCTCAGGCTGGAGGTTGCCCCTGCTGATATAGACCGTTACAACCACTCTTAATATATTTGCAGTAAATCTTGTACAAAGTGTTGCCCTTGCTTCTGTTATCTCCACTCCATCTCATCTGATGAAGTGGGTTTTACCCATGAAAGCTTATTCCCTAATAAATCTGTTAGGCTGTGTCTACACTGCAAGCCATTATTTTGAAATAATAGCGAGCTGGAGGACTCCTTACTCTGATTTCTGTAAACTCTAATTTTACGAGGAGTAAAGGAAGTCGAAGGAAGAATTTTCTTCGACTTCCTGCTGTGTAGACAGTGCCAAAAGCCAAATTAAGCTATTTTGACTTAGATCAAGTTGCGTAGCTTAATTTGACTTTTCCCCTGCTGTGTAGACGTTCCCTTAGTCTCAAAGGTGCCAGAGGACTTCTTGGTTTTACAGACATCGACTTCTCATTAGCCAGGGTGGTGAAAGAGTTCTCTTTTAGGCTGGTTTGGGGTGAAGGATCCCCAGTTTTGGGCTGATTTCTAAGCAACGAATAGATACGCTCAGCAGCGTCCCACCAGAGCACACCTTGTTACACCACTTACTTGAATAAAATGACAGAGAGCACACAACAAGACACATACTCCTCCTTAACTGAAGTAACTTTTTCAGCAACATATCCCACAAATCTTTTTTTTGAGATAATACATAACTGTTGGTTTGGCTGACATAGGGTCTAGGCTTAGCACACACAAGAGCTCTCCCAAATAATGGGGAGTGTAGAATCATCATTCATCAGGATTGTTTAGTAGGTTATTAAAGAAGCTTGGTTTTATATAAAAAAATATACAAAAGACTGATGAAGCTGGAACACTGGCTAGTTCAGTACCACTCCAGTGAGTTTCATTAGTTTGGAGTTAAACAGAAAAGAAAACCACTCAATCTTTTATGTAGGGACCTTACGACTATCATGCAACAGCGATAAACCCATACTATCTTAATTCATCACTGAAGTCCAACTAGAAACAAAGCATTAGCCTTGTGTATTGCACATTTGAGTAACTATTTTCCCACATTGCTTTTTAAAAGTTGTTTTATTTTCAAAAGAAAAGTTAAAATGAAACTCAACATTAACATGAATTGCACTGATTAGTGGAAGTCAGAATAAGATCTCAGAACCCAGTGTAAACAGAATCCTTTTGACTTAATAACAACTGTTCTGATTATAAATAAGTTACAATCATAATGCTGACAGTGCTATGAACACTAAATTGTAGATTTTGTCAGTGATGGTCTAACAAGGAACAGAGGGGTGAACCTCCATAGACACTACATATAAAATTTTACTGCCACTACATATAAAAAAAGCAAGTGGTGACTAAATATTTCAGTTCCCTGTTTAACAAGTTGCATAGAATGAGACAACAATGCTGGCTAGTTACCACCCTCCTCATACATACATCAACAAGCAGCTATTAAAAAGAGCTATGCAGTGATCCTGCAAGTCTTGTGTTTATAGCCAACTCAGCAGTCACTTATTTGAACAGCGAAACGTCTCTGAGGCTGAGTAGGCTGGTGCTCATTCCATGACTATGTTTTATGTGGCAGCTTGTATAGTTTTCAGGCACACGTCCCCTTCGGGAGAGGACAGCAACCATATGGTTAAGTTTGGACCGGATAACAGAGTAGTGGAACTGCCTCTCTTTGTGTAGTGTTTGGAAGTACTCTGCCCTCTGGTGGCCAGAGTATTTACTGGACCTCAGAGAGGACAGCGAGCTGGTAGAGCTTGCCAGAGAACATTGGGAAGATGATGAAGAAAGTGACCGTAGACTGGAAGAAGTTGATGTGGAGTTTCCAGAGGAAGGCGATCCTTCTTTTGATTGTTGTCTCTGAAGGAGAGCCTCTTCTACGCTCCCCTTCTCGTCTGTCTGTGTCATGGCTGTCTTCTGTGGCACTGCTGTTTGAGTGCCAGTTGTTCTAGCACCAACAGAGGTTTGGGTTCCACACGCTACCATTACAACACTGGTTTGCGTGACAGCATTAGACAGAGTCACTGTGGGCTTCTCCCAATGTTCAGTTTGAGTCGACGTGCTGTTCACCTCCTTTGGTTCCATTATGGCCTCCTGACTTCCAAACCACCCCTCTTTACCAGCACAGGAAGGCCCCAGGTTATCGGGTTTGCTTCCTTCAGCATCAGTAGCCAAATCTGTGGTTTTCAATGGTTTCTTGGGGGTGCTAGACAGTCTGGCCACCTCTGCTCTCAACAGGTTTCCTTCAGCATAGTCTTTAGGTGATATTGTTCCATTGACCAGGTGATCAAATAGCCCACTGCTCCTGCAGCTGGATGTCACCTTAGAGCTGATTGGCTTTGACTGGGCATAAAGGATCCTGAACTGCAGGTCAAAATGTTCAACCACTTGGCCTGACAGCAGCAACAAGTTACTGCTGTTTAATTTCCCATCAGTCCATGTGAAGCTAGTGAAAAAAAGCCAAGATTCATAGTTAATCTCACTTTAATGAGTACATTAAAATGAATAATACAGCTATACACACCAGGTGACTAGTTCACATTTGGAGGGCTGTGTGTCTAATTTTCTACTAAGGCAACCCATATTCAATAAAGACTTTCTACAATCAATGAGACTGTACCTTAGTGATCTGCTCTTGCAGTTAAGTACACAGAAGCCTGTTGGGCTAATGCACAGTTGAATTTGTGCAAGGGTTTTCAGGAACCCACCACTGAGGATGTAAAATGCCATTTAAAAATTATGCTTAACACATTAGCCACTTAAACAGGGCTGGGCGGGAGGCTGGCCGGCCATGCTGGTGCAGCCTCCCGCTGTGGGCAGGGGCTGCTCCAGCAACCTGAGCCACTGGTTAACCATTAGCAATCTCTACCATGCACCTAGATTTTACCTCTGATACAGCAACAAAAACTAATGAGAAATATGCTTGTCCTTCTACAACTGGGTTGCAGGTGTTAGAATACAAGCTGTGATGGATTGGAGGAGTGCTGGCCTTTTCTGAGTATCCTGGCATTTAGTGACTAAAGGGTTAAACTCAGGTAGCTAGGTGGTGTCGGTAGGGAGCCAGGAGAGCCAATGGGAGAAGATATTGAGATTTGAACAGGAAGATATACCTGCCTGCTGTTTTCCTTTGTGTGAGTTTTAAACCATGAGGTGGGGGGAAACAAGATGAATGGAACCAGGCAGGACTACCATGCCCACAAAGAATCCTGCCATGGAAATGGACTGGACCTTGAAGCATGAATCATGAGTAGATAGGGAAATATTTATTTAGATATGATTAGGTTATTTTCTTTGTTTTGTTGTTTGGTTAAATTTCTCTGTGCTAAGTCCATTTGCCCCCCAAACACCATACTTTAAACTGTATCACATGGAAACAATTCTCTGTGCTTTAATCTGTTTTTTCCTCAGTTGCTTTAAAACACCTAGCAACCCAGAATGCTTTATCAAGTGCATCTTTTTGATTTCTTAATAAAAATCACCTTTTTTAAGGCTATGATTTAATGTTTGTGTCCTGGCAGGTAATAGATCTGTGTATGAATGCCTATGACTGAGGGGTCAACTATCGGAGATTGCAGTTTCTTTTGTCTTTTTATTCAAGCTCTTGTGTTATAAGAGCTTGGGGTGCCCCTCTGGAAGAAGTTCCAAGTGTTTCTTCCTGAGTTCAAGAAAAAAGGGGCTTTTCACTTGGAGGTGACAGCTTATCTCCCAAGGCCAGGGAATCTGTGACGTTGGGGAGCTGTTAAGCAGAAGCCTATTGATAGAGGCAAGGTACTTTAAGGTCTCTTGTGGGCCCCCACCTTCGGCACTCAGTGCCAGAGTGGGGAACAGCCTTGACACAAGCTACAGAAAGTCCCCCAAAATGGTGGAAGTTACAGGAAATAGTAATACAATCGAGACCAGAGCCTGCCAGAAACAGGAACAGAAGCAAGGAGACAATGTTTTCCTCTCCATGACCCTCCAAACAATCCACTGAAATGCAGGCACTCTGCCAAACTAACCTACCACCACCAAACATTGGGAGAGGGGACAAGCCCACTAATGATGTAGCAGGAGCACAATACTAGAACACTTGTCCCAAATGAACAAATTACATTGTTAGCAGCAGCCCAGCGCGATGAGGACATTCCAATTAAGCAACAAAGATCTGGAGGGAATTTGTATAGACAGTCTGCCAACCAACTAATGCCAAATCAGTTCCCCTACATTACTCAAGTCTGATTCAAAAAGTTGATACAGCATTAAACAGTAGAACTATCAATATAGTTTTTGGTCCCATCCTGTACCTTTCAAGTTAATTTCACTTCATGCAGAAATCATCACCCCACAAAGACCTAACAAAATGCAACAGACCCCAGTACTTGCCTATAGGAACCTGTTGTCACTTTAATGGCATCAATTAACATGAACTTCTCGTGGACTTTCCCAACAATTCTGGCTCCTGATCTTGTGTAGTAAGTGTTCCCTGTTATAGTTCGAACACTCAGCAGCTGTTCAAAAGAAAAAATATTGAATGAGTTTCATAACAGTCAACAATTTTCTTCTACATATAAACTGTGCAGTGTAGGAAAGAGGAATACAACAGAGTTCCTTAATACAGTTACTGGCCAATATGACCAGCAAGTATTAATATTGACCAGAGATGTTGGATTCAATCTGCAGAGATGACCCACTTCCATTTTAATGAGTCATTAAGTCAGGGCACAGATTAGTACCACAAAAAAACTCCCACCAATATCAACTGGTTATTTGTGCAAAGATCAAAGGTAAAAAAAGGCCTTCTCTGCAGTAACTGAAATTTAAATAATTAGTGATTTAATACAAGATTTCCCAATAAGTGTTGCTGAGTGCGAAAAATTGCTTTTCCTTTGTGATTACCATGATCTCTTCCCTATCTTTGCTCTCTCTCCCTTCCCTCCCTCCCCCCCCCCCACTTTTGTGTGTCTGCATTTCCTTCCCTGAAGGAGCTTCCAAAGCCTGCCTCCTCTCTTTTTCTGTCCACTGCATGTCATCAGTGGGTTTTAGCCCCAACCTCTCAGCATGAGAGGCAGGGAAGTTCACACTTCAGGATCTCTGAAATCTTAAGGCAACACTGCATTGCTTTATGCTTGGAAGAGTCCTCAACCACCAGAGATAGAAATTTTTCATTATTAATAATTAAAACTGATTCTGAAGAACTAGAATATTTCACATGACTGTATCTGGTGGCTCTGACATTTGACACTTCACTTAAAAGAAATGCATATTACAGGGGGAAGGGAAAACAGATGCTATAAAAGCCATACAGGTTTCATGTGTCTCACTGTTTCCTTGCATGGCTTGTTCTATTTAGCAGACTCTCTCTGGAGCAGAAGACATTGTACAGGTAGTGATCTAGAATGCACTCAGCAGAGTGCATGTATGTACGACACTCCACAGAGTAGGGCTGCTCACTCCATCTGCAATACAATATGGGTGAGTTGGGATAAGGGCTCTTGCTGGTTTGGGGAGCCTATCATGTTGAGTTAATGCAGAGCCCATGTTCAAATCCTGCAGTGTTAACCCCCAGCCTTTGGGATGCTCAGGGGCTTCTAAGGAAACAGAGTATTTAAAATGTTAAAGTCCAGGCAGCATGTGAAACACTGGCGTGTCTTTCAAAAGTAATGTTATACTTCACCATAGAAACCTCCATTAACACTTACACCTTCCTGCTCAGGACAGACTCTTAGACTTTTGCACATTTCCATGAAGTGGGGTAGAAAATCTTGGTCCAGAAGGATGTAGACTGGAATCTTCCGCTTTGTATAGGCCTCCTGAAGATCGCTGAAGATATCCGGATCTGTGAAGGAATCCATAACCACAGCGATCACCTGCAGAAACAGAAGCAGTCATTAAACCCCAAGCCTCATTGCGCAATTAAGCATGACTTTGCCTAGATCAGCAGTTCCCCAGTCGGTTCTCATTCAGAGGCTATTGTGCAGCCAGTCATGTTTCCCTTTCATTTTTTTTTCCTTTTTGGCAAAATGACATCTCGCCTTCCCATAATTTAGTCATAAACTCTTTGTCCCCGAGTATATAGGATGAGCCCAGATGGATTATTCCCACACCTGCGGATGTTCTCACATGCTATGGTTTGCTTATCTGCACAACCTTGCATAATAGTATCTTATTTCAGCACCTGGGGAACTGGCATGGCACAGTGAGCAATCTTGCAGAATTGGCACCACTCCCTTGCTCCCAGATACTCTGGGCTGAGCACCTCTTGCTGCAAGGGTTTTCTCTTAAGCCAGTAGTTGCTGATCAGTGCACTGTAGCTCAAGAGCATTAGGGTACATCTACACAGCAGGGCAAAAGTCAAATTAAGCGACAACTTCAGCTACGTCAATTGCATAGCTGAAGTCGAAATAGCTTAATTCGGCTTTTTGCGCTGTCTACACAGCAGGACATTGAAGGAAGAACACTCTTCCTTCAACTTCCCTTACTCCTCGTGAAATGAGGGTTACCATGAGAAGGCGTAAGACGACCTCCAGCTCGACATTATTTCCAAATAAAGGCTTGTAGTGTAGAGGCTTGCTGGGCAGTGGGTCTGGCCCATGAAAGCTCATCATCTAATAAACCATCTTGTTAGTCTTTAAAGTGCTACATTGTCCTGCATTTTGTAGTGTAGACACGTTCTTTGTTATTTTGGAATAACGCTGTTGTGTAGCCGTACCCTTAGAGGCCAAAGGTTCTCAGACACTCCAAATGTCATCACAGAGATAGCTATCTGGCCCTTCCTCATTCAGGAATCTGACCGGGAGATGATGGAGATGAATAAAATAAATTAGTTTGATGGCTTGTTTTGCCATATTTTCTAAAGCACCAGTACATTCAAGGAGCGTGTCTATAGAAGTAATGCAAGTTTTATGGGAGCTACATTTATTAGGTATAACATTATCTCCCACACCCCCTCCCTCCCCACTGCCCAGCAAGGCGTGTATGGGTACACTACACAACCACTACTTGTGTGGCATTGCTCACAAGCACAAAGGTACCTCCCATAAAAACAGAGGATGACTTGGTTGTTTCTCATTGTACACTGTCCCAACGCACTGGTAATTAGAGTCTGCAGAAATACTCAGCCGGCTCCCCCCCAGCACCGGCTCCTGTTCCCTCCCTCCTTGCTGTCAAAGTGAATAGTCGACATGACTACCCAATAAGCTTAGGCTACTCACTTACATCCCTACTGGTAAGGTCAATAACAATCTCTCTCACTGTTTAATTACATTTTATTTAATATATTTATACATTTTATTTAATATATTTACACACTTTTGAGATTGTGCATAACCTCGAATTGAAAGTTTACCCACCCACTCACGACCTGATACCAAGTCTCCCCATTCTTTTTGGCGTAAGTTGAGACTACCCAGCTGCACAGCCTTACAACTAGGAAGGTGGCAATGATACTCTTTGGACTGACCATCAGAAGAGCATTAAGAGGCACTAGATTGGCCCAGCATTGCTGGGGTCCTTCACTCAATTAACTTTGGGGTTTTCTTCCTTTAAGTCACTGCTGTGGAGTGGGGCTGGGGACGAGGGTTCAGGCTGCCCTGGAGTGACGACTACCCCAGTCCTTTCACTGCAGCAGATTGAGGCCAAGTGAGAAGCTGTTCTCCGGGACTGAGGCAAGTCCAGCTGGTGCAGCCGACGGGAGAGGGGTGCATGTTCCCGAACTGAAGTGGATCCAGACTCATCTGCCCCGATGCCCCCCTGCAGAGCGAGGAATGGAGCCAACTGCACTCTTCCCTGGCTCCTTGACAAAGAGGAGCAGCCAGCAACGTCCCATACAAATCGAGTGGGGTAGCGAGGACAGAAGCTTCAGCTCGGGCCTGGTGATTCTCTTTTCTGTCTCAAGCCACCAGATCCAGCCGCAGGAGCCTCAGGCTCCCTGCCTGCCCCACCCCCACCTGCTGCTTCATGCACGGCCCCTGCCCCAAGCACAATCTTGCAGCTTCCATTGGCTAGCTTCCAGACAATTGGAACTGCCTGTTTGCAGGACAGGCAGCACATGAAGTATCCCTCCCACTCTAAGTTCACAGCGTTCAGAGGCGCAGGTGGCCCCTATAGCCAATGCAGAGGCACGGAGGGCAGGGACTCTAGCTAGGAACCTGCTGGGCTGCTGGCCAGGAGCTGCCCAGGGAAATTCCTCCTGGCCAGAGCCTGCCTCTGACACCCTAGCCCCTCCCTCTCCCAAACCTCTGCCCCCACCCTGTACCCCAACATCTCAATCCCCATAGCCCCTCCTGCACTGCTGCCCCAGGTCACAATCTCTTCCCAAACCCTACACTCCCTCCTACATCACTCCTCCAGGTCAAAACCCCCTCCCAAACCTTGCACCCCCTCCTGCCTGCTCCTCCGTATCCTGCCCCAGGTCACAACCCCCTCCCTTCACCTAAACTCCCTCCCAGATCCAACATCCCCTCCTACATACTAGTGCCCTACTCCAACCCCCTTCTGCACCCAACCTCCATCATAGATCCTGCACTTCCTCCATTAACATCATGGAAGAGTGCGGCCCTTGATCATTGACCAAATTCTTGGAGTGACCCCCCCCATCAAAAAGGATTGCCCACCCCAGGCTAGTTTTAGGTGAGCAGTGTGACTGGTTTCTGCAAGCACGATACAAGAGGGTATAAGTTACTCATTCTCTTGTCATTTCCCTTCATTGCACCAGCTGTGCACATGTTGAGACAATATGGTTTAATAGCTCCACCTTCTTTGTTATTTCCGGTACCCGAATCACTTGTTTACTTCTCTAAACTGGGGTTTTAATCCCTCCCTGTATAGAGCAGAGCGAGCACGGGTAAAATACAGCCCATAGGCTGGATCAGGCCTACCACAATACTCTGGGTGACCAACGTCCCATGGCCCAGCGGGCCCACAGGCAGGCATCCCCCCCACACTGCTCAAAGCATCCGGCTCCTGGGACGACTGCATCTTTGCACCACATGCACCATAGCAGGAAGGGGGGAACTCCACACACTTCCCCAGCTAAACAACTGCCTGGGCTGTACTTGCAGCACCAGGCAGTGTGCCGAGTCCCCTTCAAGGGGTGCACAGCTTGGAGACACACACGCTGGCCCCAACAGCCAGGTGCTTTGAGTGGCAACTGTGGACACAGAAGGCAGAGGCAGCCAGAGGGTCCTGCTTGGCTGCTTGCCAGGAGCTGTATATTATAGCAAGTGTCTCCAGGTCAAAGCCTCCACCCACAACTCCCTGTCTCAGGTCACAACCCAATCCCTCTGCACCTCTGGTCACACACAATGCCCTCCCACATTCCTGCCCTCGGTCAGAATCCTCTCCTGCACCCATACACCTCCCCCAAGCCTTTCTGCACCCAATCTCCATCTCAGACCCTACACCCTCTCTGTTACTATCCTAGAGGAGTGCAGCCCTTGACCACTTACCCAGTTCTTGGCTTGGCGCCCTATCAAAACTTGTTGCCCACCCCTGGAAGAGAGAACGCTGTCAGCAACCCTTCCTGAACCATAACCACTGGAATTGATTAGGCACTGACCTGGCCTCATTCAGCAACTTTCCCATGTGATTAAAGAGCCAAGATAAAGAAACAGTCCCTCCCAACATGGCGAAATTTCTACCTGGACTCGGGGCATTACACAACAGAGGCAATCCCTGAGGAAGAGGCCAGCCTAAGGTAGATAGTTTTAATTATATGCAAGTTACAGCAGGCAATTCTGCATTTCTCCATGTAGATGAGGAGGGTTTATCCCCTAGCAGATAGGATTATCCAGTAACCATGTCCTTGCCAAATCGGAGATTTCCACAATTCGGTATCAGCGCTGTTGTAGTAACACACTAGAATTAAGCCCATTGCTGAGTATTCTGATGTTTTCTGGTCCCCCCCGGTCTTTACCTTCCTCAGTGAGCTCCATGTACATTTCCACTGGACTAGTCAGAAAGTTACTTCTTGTTGTAGGTCCCACATCTACCTCTGAGCCACACAACCCCACTCCTTCTACTGCACATTGCTGGCATGTAGGAACAGGCTATGGAAAGAAGTGCTGTTCCCTACTGTACTGGGCAGATCAGCACTCCCAAGCCAAACACAAGTAGAGCAATGTTCCCTTTCAGGATGTAAAATCCTATGGAATTAGTTAACTAGTTAAATATTAAGTTTAACCAGTTTATGATTAAGGGGGGGGCAGGCCCACCACAATCATGGGTTGCTCTGGCCAGGCTGGAGCACCCCCCCATCCACTGCAGGCAGGGAGGGGGCTGCTCCAGCCCCCCCCTCGTTAACCGTAACCAGTAAACTTCAGTCATTAAGGGTGAAATTTACCAGTTAACAATTAGCATCCCTAGTTTCCATTCAGGTATTTTAGATTTTCAGTCATCTCTGGGAAAGGCACTTCCTGATAGTCAGTAACCAGCTTAGTTTTGGGCTTTTTACATCACATCAGACTTTTAAGCTCTTCCAGCTAATCTTTAACCACCAGAAAACAAGTGAATCAGGGGCCTGCTGTTATTATTGAATAAGCATCAGACCACTGGCCAATCTAATCAAATGCCCTGCCTTTGGCTGTAGTCTTCAATCTTTGTACAATGCACATAGTACCAAGCTAGGCATGCTGGGGTAGGAAAGGAAGCAAATAACTTTCTTTGTAACTCTCAATCAGTACAAGATATAGTGACTGCTTTTACTGAGTCTAATTACGTGTCATTGGTCTTAATTTCAGCTAGGCTACTTTTATTAACTTCAGCTATAGTAACTGATTAATCTTTTGGGGCTGTGAATTCCTTAGGTGGGTTACACACCATATCAACTCTTTTATTAATTCATCTTTCTTTTCCCTAAAGTGACCCCTTT